AAGCCCTATTCATTTATTTTGTTTTTCTTGTTTTTGTTTATTTTTTTCACCCACATATGTGTGAAATCATACAGCATCTATCTTTCGCCATCTGACTTATTTCACTTAGCATAATACCCTCAAGGTCCATCCACATTGTTGCAAATGGGAAGATTTCATCTTTTCTATGGCTGAGTAGTATGCCATTGTATATATATTTATAACACATCTTCTTTATCCATTCATCCATTGATGACATTTAGGTGGTTTCCATATCTTGGTTACTGTAATAATGCTGCAATGACCATAAGGGTGCATATATCTTTTTGAATTAGTGATTTAGAATTCTTTGGATAAATACCCAGAAGTAGAATAGCTGGGTCATATAATAGTTTCACTCTTGGTTTTTGGAGGAATCTCTATCTTGTTTTCCAAAATGGCTGCACCAATTTATATTCCCACCAATACTGTATGAGGGGTCCGTTTTCTCCCCATCCTCACTAACACTTGTTATTTCTTGCTTTTCTGATAATGGCCATTCTAACAGGTATGAAGTTACATCTCATTGTGGTTTTGATTTGCATTTCCCTGATAACTAGTGATGTTGAACATCTTGTCATGTGCCTGTGGCCCATCTGTTTGCCTTGTTTGGAAAAATGTCTATTCAGCTCCTCTACCCATTTTTTTAACCAAGTTGATTTTTTTTTTTTTTGTGGTACGCGGGCCTCTCACTGTTGTGGCCTCTCCCGTTGCAGAGCATGGGCTCCGAACACGCAGGCTCAGCGGCCATGGCTCACGGGCCTAGTTGCTCTGCTGCATGTGGGATCTTCCTGGACCGGGGCACGAACCCGTGTCCCCTCATCGGCGGGTGGAATCTCAACCACTGCGCCACCAGGGAAGCCCAACCAAGTTGATTTTGTTATTGGTATTGAGTTGTGTAAGTTCTTTATATTTTTTGGGTATTAACCCTTTATCAGATATATCATTTGCAAATATCTAGCCCTGTGTTATTTTCCTGCCATGAATTTGCCCTCTCACTAAGGACACAGGCAAGGACTCTCTGACCCGGATAGTTCAGAGCAGCCTCCTCTGCCTGGCACACAGTGATCCTTCCATGCAGCCAGGCAGTTCCCCAATATCCATACCACATTATTTATGATGGCACCAGACGTAACTGCCTGTTCACTGAGGTCCAGCCCATTGTCACTGTGCCAGAGAAACATTGCCCTCACACAATGTTCTAAAAAAGAGGAACTCATTTCCAGGGTCAAGGGAGAGCTGGGGAGGCCCCCTGTGGTCTTGGGAAAGTCTTCCCTTCTCTCTGGGTGATGGATGCTGTGTTTTCCCAAGAGAAGCACTGTTTCTGAGGGTGGGGTCCATGGTTTTCTTTCTCTTTGCAGCTGGTGCAGAGCAGGCATTCTCGAGGAAAGGATGGATGAAGGGCCCCACCTACCATTTCTTTCTTCTTGGTTTCTCTGCCCTATCCCCTGTTCCCAGGGCACACATCCAGAGGGTGGCATGGAATCCTTTGGTTATCTGGGATCTGCTGGTCAAATACTGCATCACATTATATACAGGAGTCCCCTATGAAGCCTGTGGATCAGTCTGACCAGCTGTCGTAACTGTCTCCTTTCTCATCTCATTCTCCCCTGCCCTCCATTCCTCCCAGCCTCCTCCAACCCTGCTCCCTGGTTTGTTGTCTACTTTAGTTTCCTCTGTGCCTTGGATGGAGGGTCTCGGATCACCACTCCTTGGAGATGACCCCCCAGCACTGCTGGGACATTTCAAACAGCCCGGGTCTCTTTTCCACTCCCATTGATTATGCCTATGGTCTACCTCCAAGCATAAGGAGAGTCCCAACCAGAGAAGGGGAGAGTGGCCAAACTGTTTCCTTCCTCCATCCTTATCCAGAGGAGACCTTAGAACCCCAGGAGCATGTCAGTGGGGCAGAAAAAATGAGCACTGACTTCCCTCCTCTCATCACAGCAGTGATTTTTGGTCACTCTAGATCTGGCCCAAAGTTCCTCCTCTGTTTTGGAAGAGTGGGGATCTCCTAAATGTCTGGGAGAATTGCCCTCCTTCCTGGCTGGAAAGTGAGGCTGAGGCACCCACCTCCCACTTGGTCTTTTCTCCTCTGGGCTGTCAGGTCAGGGGTCACATAGAGCACCCAAAGGGATGCACGGGAGACTGCTCAGGAAATACCTGTGGATAAGCATGGCCAGAGGAAAATAGCTCATGACCCACATCTTTCCTGCAAAGTGGGAAATGAAACTCCTCATGGTAGGGACTTTTACAGAAACCATCTCTGAAACCCCAGAGGGCCCACAGGATTGCGGTTGCTTGTTGCCTATCTTCCTCACGCTGGATCAGCCTTTGTCCAGCTATCAGCAGAACACCTACCTGAAGCCTCCATTTCCATCACTTGGAGTAAATGTCCCCCAAGCCAAGTCCTATCTTACGCAGTGAGTCCCGTCCCAGCTTGGCGAGGCTTCCAGATCCTTTCCTGGGACCACTGGGAGGGCACATGGGCATTCTACCAATCACTCATGCTACATAACAGCAGAGGTTGGGGAAAGTCAACTTTTCAACAGAGAGGGAAGGGGACAGACATTCCAAGGTGTTATGTGGCAGCTGCTCTCCCTCAAATGTCTCATGAGGAGACCAGGACCCCAGGGGTGCTTTCTACCAAGAACCCAAAGTAACTTGGATTCTTCTCCATCCCCAGGCCCTGGGACGTGGATGTGAGGCCAGGAATCAGGAGCAGAAGGGCTGAGGTGATCCTGGGATTAGGCTGGCTAACAAGCATGAGAGCCCAGAAACAGAACATTCTGACTCCTTCTGAGCCCTGGTAGAACCAAGGCTCTTCAACTAGGTGAGCAGCTTTAAGAGAAGAGGTGTGGTTATAAATGTTCAGAGACTGGCAGTGAATTAGGAGTGAGGCCTTCAGTTTGTGGGATTAGCTAACGTCAAAGCTTAGAGCAGACAGCAGGTCTGAACGTTATGTGGGTAGGGAGGAAATGAGACAGGATGAATGGAACACCATCCTTGTGACCCAGCTTCCTTCCCAACACTTGGAAAGGGTGGTGTGGAGTCCTTTCTGGTTTCCCTCAACCAGTCAGAGAAACAGCTCTAGTCTGAGGCCTATTCAGCCTGGAGAGGGGAGCAGCAACGGGTCTGTAAGCACAGTGAACCGGTCAGAGAGGGAGGTGGGATCCTCTCAAATATCAAAGGCAGTGGAAGCCTCTGCAAGTAAAGGTAGCTATCTCCTTGGCCCTGATCATTTAGCCTGCAACCTTGGTCCCTGACACAAACCTGTCATCCAGCTCCACTGGCTGAGGGTCAGTGAAGCCCGTCAGGTTTCTAGTCCCGTGGCCAGAGTTGTTATGCATTTTTGGGTAAGGTTTAAAACCACACTTGCCTCATGCCTTTACTATGGGAATGAATGAGAACTGCTGGAGGCCATAGAAAGATGCAGTAGCTTCTACAAGACAGATTCCAGTCCACAGGCTGGAATCTCAGATTTGAGTCATGATCAGCCATCAACTATTCCATTCATCCCTCTTTCATCCATTCATCCATCTTCCATCCATCCACCCATCCACCCACCCATCCATCCACCCATCCATCCATCCATCCATTTTCCATCCATCCGTATTCCATCCATCCATCCATCCATCCATCAATCCATCCAATTATCTGGACTGACTTCCTTCTTTTTCTCCTTTCCTCCCTCTCTTCCTCTCTTCCCTCCTCTCTTTCCTACCTTCCAAGAAATATTTGTTTAGAATCTGTTATATACCAGGTTTCTCAGATGTGGTAGATTTCTTCAAAGTGTCAGAAGCTTCCCAGGAGAAAACTTAGTCCCTCATGGAGCCCCAAATCAGCTCCTCTCTGCCCTGAGCATCTCTCATGAATGAAAGAGCAGCTCCTGGTCTGATGTTGCTGGGCCTCCCACATTGTCTGAGACCCTCACAAATGCAGGAAGCAGAGAGGAGAAGCCAAATCTTACATTTACAGTTTGGATCTCCAAGCCCCATTTTATAGAGGGATAGTCTATCATCTAAGATGCCCTGAACAGAAGTAGAATATTTTATTGCAGTGGTCTCCTTACTGGTCTCCCTGCTTCCAGACTCCCCACACCCTGATCTCTGCTCCTCACAATGATCAGACTGATTTTTCTTCAGTGTTCCTGTCCTTGTCTCTCTCCTCCCTAAAGTCCTTCACTGGCTCCACATCACCTATAAGCCAGAGTTCAAGCTCCTTAACGCGACCCAAAAGGATCTTTATGATCTGACCCCAGGTGCCTCCTTAGCCCAAGCCCTCCCTGCTCAGGTCATATATTGATACTCTATACTCCAACAGTGCCAAACTACCTGTAATTTGCCGGGCACTCCATACTTTCCAATATGCTAATCCCTCTACCCGGAACTTCTTAAAATTACTCCAGTCTCTGAACTTCCCTTGAACTGTGCATATTCTTCTATCATTATGCTTATCACCCTGTATTGTGACTTATTTGCTCAGGTCTGTCTGTCTTACCAGATGGTGAGCCCTTTGAGTACAAGGACTGTCAGTTATTCAGCTTTGTGTCTCAGTCCTAGCACAGTGCCTGGTATCTGGAAGGCATTCAATATGTATTTGTGGGGTGAATGGATGGCAGGATGGAAGATGGATGAGAGCCGTCTTCTAAGAGAAAAAGCTTAGCCTGAGGACAAGGTAGTTAAAGTGCCCGTGTAATAGACCCCCCGAGAAGATGACAAATGGCCTCCTCCTGAAAGCTCAGGCCCTTGAGGAGAGGACCGAGCTGTAGCCTAGGTGCTTAAGCCAGGAATGGGGAACTTTGGGATAACACAATGACTTTTGGGGGTCACTTCCCTTTTCCTCTAGATAAAAGGACTTTGGGGAGAGAGCTGGCCGGGAGCACCTGTGCCAGGAGGGTGACGGTGCAGAACCTGCTCAGGGCTCTGTGCCCAAACCCACAGTTTGCTGCTCCAACGAACGCTCTCCTCTTCTTCCTGCAGAGCCTCCTCCCAAGACGCGTCCATCTCTGGTTCTGGGAAGACTTCTCACAGTCCGTGCTGCAGTCATCTTCCTGATGCTGGTCCTGGTCGCTTCCGTCCTGCTGCAGGCCATTCTCTGTAAGTCCTCGGCTTCCATCGGGGCTCCATCCTTCCCCACGGCCAGTCGGCTCCCTGTCTCCCCCGCTTTCTGGTGGTCTCTCCTGCCTCTGGTTTTTTCATTTGTCTTGTTTCCCCTCTTTCCACGTGCAGTCAGAGAGTCCCCTCCCACCTCCACACCCCCGCCGTCCCCCGTAAGATCAGCTGCTGCTCCTTCCTTTCCAATTCCGGGGAGATTTTCCTGACAGGGATCAGCATGCTTGCGCTCTAGGACATGCTCTTTTGTCCCCAAGAAATGTTCGCTCATCTTCATCCTGGGTCATTTCCTCCTTCCTCTCTGAGTTTCATGTCCCTTTGATTAAGAGCCTTGTGGGTAGCCCCCAAAAGTGACCATGGTGTTTCCTGACCCCACAAGGGATGGTGTCCCAGCTGTATCTTCAGCCCCAACTGACTAGATGGAGAACCTGGCCAACAGGATAGGGTTAGGGTTAGGGTTAAGGTTAGGGTTAGGGTTAGTGTTAGGGTTCACTGCCCTCCCCCCACAGGACCCCTTCTCTTCACTCTCCCGCTCCCACAAAGGTCATGTCAAGGGAGACTTCCTACCTCTTCATTGGGTGTGTGATGTATCTTTCTCCCTCTTCTGGCTTTGCCAAGCCTCATGGCCTCTGCTGCTTCTTCCGCTCATTAGGTCTCCAGAAAGCAGGTGGAGGGAACATCTGCACTCTCCCTTCAAGGCCTCGGGACATATTTGGTCTTGGACTTGGAGGGTCTGAGCAGAGTCTCTCCTGCTTTGGGCCCACTTGGCTTACTTTTGGTTTCCTCTATGGCACCTAAGCCTGTGGCCTGAACAGAGTGTGACAGGGGGTGGGACAAGGGAAGAGAAGAAGTGATTTCCTAATTCTCCCTTTTTGTATTCTCTGGAGAAGAGATCACCTCCAGATTAGAAGTCTGCATAGGCTCTCCCTTCCATAGCCGTGAGGGGCTTATGGGCAATCATAAGCCGTGCGGCCCAGAGGGACATGGGAAGTATGACAAAGTGGTGTTTGAAGACATCCCTTTACCAAATGCTCTGTGAACATGCAAAGAAAATTTAGAACTGGTTTCTAACCCCCTCTTCTGCTTACCTGTGAGAGCCTCTAACAGAGAGCCCGTGTTTCGTCGATCTTTGCATGATCTGCCTCTACCAGAGTTCCTGGTGCATGGAAGGTGCCCATTGCATGTTTGTTGAATGAATTCATTATGAGTAAGTGGAGGGTAGGCAACTGCTCCTTGGGTTGGGTCCTTAGGAAGCTTGAGCCCATCCCTTCCCTCCTCTTCCTTTTATTACCCTGGCAACAGCCCCACTCCAGTCCCTGGGGATCCCCTTGGCTGACCTCTTGACTGTCTCATATGCAGATCCCTGGTTTATGGGCACAATATCAGATGTCAAGACAAACGCCCAGTTGCTGAAAGGTCGTGTGGACAGCACCAGCACCCTGAGTTATGAAATAAAGAGGAATAGAGGTGGCGTGGCGGCAGCTGGCATTCAGGTCCAGATGGTGAATGCCAGCCTGGATCGTGTGCGTTCTCAGATCCGGAGGTTGGAAACCAGTGTGAAGGAAGCCAATGCACGGCTGCAGATGCTAACAAGTAGTTGGGAAGAAGTCGATAAGTTCAATGCCCAAATTCCGGAGCTAAAAAGAGATTTAGATAAAGCCAGTGCTTTAAACGCACTGGCTCCAGAGAGGTTTGGGGAATATCAGTCAGTTGTTCCAAAAGCAAAGTAAGTGACTCAGAAAAGAACGTTGCAAGTTGACCAGTGGCCCGTGGGACCTTGCCAGTCTTAGGCATGACACCGCTGGGCTGGTGCGTGTGGAGGGAAGGGAGAGAGGAGCAGGGCAGCCATGGCTGGAAAGTTAAGAAGAGCGGGCTCAGCACTGGGTTTAGGGAGTGCTTAGGGGCTGTTCAGGAGAGAAGGCACTGGGGACCAGCCAGAGTTGCCACACCAAGGCATAGAATATGAAGGCATTAGGGAGTCTCTTTGTCCTGATCCGAAGCCAGCCATTTTCCATTAGTCTCTACCTAGAGCGCAGGGGCTCAGACACTTGTGATGGCCAACGGAAAATTACTCCTCCCCACAAGAGAGGCAGATTCTTGATTCAGCCTCTCTCACTCTCCCCTCTCTGAGCCCAGAGACTCTACCAATCTCAGTCAGACTTTCAGGGTCTGAGGGAATGTCCCCAAGCTCCTACACAAGGACCCAAAGACCCCAGAGCCCAGCCCCATTCACTCTGTCTCTGGGATCCCACTCAAGTATCCCTACCTCGCCAGCACCAGAGAAAACAGGAACACCAGAGTACATATTTCACTCTTGTTCTCCAGATGACATCCTACAGATGGTTTCTCAACGCTGGAGGTACTTCAGGGGGAACTTCTATTACTTTTCTCAAGTCACAAGGACCTGGTACAGTGCCCAGCAGTTCTGCTTGTCCAGGGATTCACACCTGACCTCAGTGACCTCAGAGAATGAACAGGTGAGTGCTGTCCTGTGGGCTCTAGGAAGGGGGTGTATTGGTAGCTGTATCAGGCAGGATGGGCAAGATTATGCTGCGGTGACAGAAATCCCCAAATATCAGTAATTCTTCAGAATTACTTCTCACTTGTACACTGCATGTCCAATGAGGGCCAGCAAGGGGTTCTGCTCACTGTGGTTACTCAGGGCTTAGGTCAAAGGAGATTTCATCTCAACATATGTTTCCACAATTGCTGAGGTGAGAAAAGGGAACATGGCACATTGTGTGTTGGCTCTTAAAGCTTCTGCTGGAGGCAACGGGCATCACTTCAGCTCACATTTCATTGGCCAGATAAATGATGCAGTATTTGTAGCTTTAAAGAGGGCAGGGTAGTACAATCTTTCCATGTGCCCAGAAAATAGAAATATTTGTGAACAGCATTAATGACACTGTCTGACCCAAGAAGTCCCCTACCTGGTGAGGCAGAATGTTGAACAAGCTCCTTTCATCTGGAGGTGGGCTAGCAGAGCAGGTGAGATCATGGGCTCTGGAGTCAGAGTCTAGAGTCCTAACCCTGTGTCTGTGGGTTCAGGGGCTGTTGCTGAGGATGGGTGAAGACCACCTAGAGAGACAGCTGCTCCAACTCGGAGTCGTGGCAGCACCTCTGCTCATTCTGTCTCTCTGCAGGAGCTTCTCTACAGGACTGCAGGTGGACTTCTCTACTGGATCGGCCTGAGCAAAGCAGGGAGTGAGGGGTACTGGTACTGGGTGGATGACTCGCTGTTCAACAAGGTCCAGAGTGTGAAGTAAGCCCTGAGAACCCTCCTTCCCAGACTGACTTTCTTGGGCCAGGGCTAGGGCATGAAGAGTGGAGTGGTAGTTCCTACTGACCACAGGGTTTGTGATTCTTCCCCATCCTCGGGCGGCAGGAGCATTGAACAGAGATCTAGCTGACCTCTGCCACTAATTGGCTGTGAAACTGGGGACAAATTCATGGCCTCTCGGTGCCCTCTGGGGTTTGGCAGCATGGCCGTCCACCCAGACTTGGCAGGGACCTCATTCTAAGTTTAGGTCTTTGCACTGTGTGTTCCTGTAGGGCCTTGAGAACTGTGGGCTGGTGTGGCCCTAACTTGGGGGGTGATTGCAGGCTCAGAGGTTGACAGGTCACTGGTCCCCTTCCTCTCAGGCATGGAAAAACTTGAGATGCTATCACCCGGCACCAAAGCTGGGGTTGAAATCTCTCAGTTATTCATTGGAAATATGTTTTTCTTTGTTTTTTTCCTTTGATAGGTTCTGGATTCCAGGTGAGCCCAACAACACTGGAAACAATGAACACTGTCCTCACTGTGTCCTCACTGCAGTCATGGAATGATGCCTCCTGTGACAATTAATTTCTTTTTATCTGTAAATGGCCCTACATCCCATCAGAACCATGTCAGGACTGGCCCCCAAGCTCAAACTTTAAACTCCAATGCTTGTTGAATTCAAGGAAATGCGGCTCTCTCCTTCATACTCCAGGGTGATTTTGAACTTTAATTTTTCTTACTTCTAAATTGTCTTGAAGGCATCCGGGAGTCTATCTGCCTTGGCTAGGTGTTCTCTGACCCCACAGAGGCAGCTGATATGGAAAGGAGATCTTGGGTTGAAATGGGAGCTGAGGGTGGAGATGATTAGGAGTTCACTAATTCACCCAGTGAGGTGAATCAGAACCTGCAATCTGGGGCAGCACCCTGGGGCATCCCATCCCTTCAGAGAAGCCTCATCTTCACTGCATGAAAGTTGCTTCGACCACCCAAGCAATTGTCTGGAGGCTGAGACTCAGGGTTTTTCTGGTTGATTCCCCAGAATTCCCAGTTGCCTGCTGAGGTGGCTGTGTTCTCAGTGGGAAGAGCTCTGCTCTTGGTGACCCTGTTCATGCCATGTACCCATGGCCCCCTTCATCCACATCCTCTGAGATCTGAGACCCTTCCTCCCTGGGACGGGCTTGACTGGTTCAGATCTGGGGCTGACATGGGAATGTGTCTCCTTAGAGTTGGACCAGCGTCCATGGGCTTCTCCCTCCCCCTCACTTGCTAAACTCTGGGACCCAGTCTGTCTGCTGAGCCCTTCTGCCTCCCCTCCTCTTTCTCCTGCATCTCCTCTCTCCCCAGAGGGCAGGGGAAGCTCAGTGAAGAGGGCACCTCTGAGCTTCATTAGAATAAAATGCTGCCTGGGAAAAGGCCAGTCTCTTTTGTTGTTTTCTTCCTGGGGGTACAGGTGAATGTGCGGGGAAGAACATCTGCTCTCCCGGACATGAAGTTCTGGGGTGTCCTCAGGAAACAGTTTGGGGTTCGAAATAACAGAGAGTAGGAACGTTCCAGCCCCAGAAATGCCATAAAATATGAGTAGTACTAATCTCTGGCTTTTATTGAAGTGCAGCAGAGCTAGGACTGCAGTGTCCGCAGTGTCACGACCCTCCTGGTGGCCTTTCCTCCCAGATGTTCATGGACCATCTTTTGTTCTCTGCCTTTGCTCCCAATGGGGAGACACGTCAGGTTTCCCACTCTTCACAGAGACCGTGATCACATCGCGGACATCGGGTCCAAATCCCCCATCCAGGGGCCGAGGCAGGAATCCAGGCCCGCACCAGACAGGAGAGGAGCAGAGAGGGAGCAGAAAGGGTACGGTGTGAGCAGCCCTCCCTTCATTGGGGTCCTAGTTAGGTGCCCTCTTTAGGGTCCTGGGGAGGGGACGTTTTCCTTCAGTGACTGTGACCAGCAGCGAGGTGTTCTGGGTGCAAAGGGGTCGGGGCTGAGGTCAGGGGCATTAGGAGGAATCTTGAAGGAACATGGGGCAATTGGGGTTTTTAAAATATGGTGATGGACGAGGGATGGGCAGTCAGCGGTGGCGTCCACGAGGGAGCATTTGTAGGCCAGCTCCAGGGACATCTGAGGTCCGAGGGGGCAGGGGCGTCAGGGAAGTGAAGACGGGCAAGCTCACAGGGGTGGATGTGCGGGCTTGGAAGGCATCTATGTCTTCTCTAAGAAATACTTGGTTGTACCTACTCTTCATAATTCAAAGTAGCAAGTTACGGGAGAATGTTATTTCTTCCCAGTGTCGGTTATGTGCTCATAGCACAAGCTGATGTAGAAATGAAATACAAGCTGTGGGCTCAGGGCTCCCTCTAGGGAACTATCCCGTTGTGTGTCCAAACATGACACTGCTCTCCATCTTGCTGTCACGCCTGGCGTGTTGGTCACCACATCTGGGCTGCCACGCTGAGGAGCATGTGACCCTGCCCCACGCTCCGTCTTCTTCCCTGAGGTGGGCACTTGTCACCAGGGCAGCGGATTCAGAGGCTTGCATTGTAAGGCCTAAAATTTCACTTATTGCCATGATATTTTCTGAGGCTTACAGCGCCACAAAAGCCTAACTTTGAGTTCCCCAGCTCTCACCAGATATGAATTCCCCTCAACTGGACCAGCTGCACTCCACCCAGTTTTCAACCTACTGGGTTCCGCTAACCTGCCAGTCCAGAAACTGTTCAAACAAGCCAATCACATCCTCCTGCAGGTACCAGGGACACACTATCCTCTTGTTGCTGCAAAGCCGGCCTCTCACGGCTCTTGCTGGTTCCCTCTGCTCCTGGGTGTAACCCCCGTGTGGCCCTGCATGGTATGCAGTGTCCTCCTCTGGACTGTGACAGTATGTGACTAGTAAACTGCCGTGAGTATTATCTGCCCAGCGTCAGATGTCATGTGTTTGGCCATCTTGTACTATTTGGGGCAGGAGATGCCTCCCTCACTGACTGAATGCATCCCCTCACAATTCATATGTTAAAACCCTAATCCCCACTGGGTTGGTATTAGGAGATGGGGCCTGTAGGAGGTAATTAAGTCACCAGGGTGGAGCCCTCATGATGGGATTCGTGCTCTTATAAAAAGAGACGTGAGGGACTTCCCTGGTGGTGCAGTGGGTAAGACTCCATGCTCCCAATGCAGGGGGCCTGGGTTCCATCCGTGGTCGGAGAACTAGATCCCGCATGCCACAACGAAGATGCCACGGGCCACAACTAAGACCTGGTGCAGCCAAAGTAAATAGCTAAATTTTTAAAGAAGAGACATGAGAGCTTGCCTCTCTCTGTCTGCTTTCCATCCTGTGAGTTTACAACGAGAAGACAGCCATCTGCAAACCAGGAACAGAGCCCTCACCAGAGACTGAGTCTGCCAGCATCCCGATCTTGGATTTCCCAGCCTCCAGAACCGTGAGAAAGAAATTTCTCTTGTGTAAGCCTCTATAGTCTGTGATGTTTTTGCTATAGCAGCCTGAATTGACTAAGACACTCACCACTGGGGTAAATAGGAAGCGATAAGAACAAGGCTGGCCAGGAATTTCTGGTTGGTTCTGATGTGAAGGGATGAATGGGACTCTCTGACCACTTCTCTGGAAAAGAATTTGAACTTGAAAATACCCAGGAATTGAGGCAGTTAACAGAGAGAAGTTGAGTTGGAAGGGCCCTGAGTTAGAGAAAGGCTGGAGGGGCCACCATGGGGCACCTGCAGAAACTAAGAATACGCAGAAGCTGTGAGGCAGAGAAGCAAAGCACACGAGGAATATATCTGGCAGAGAAAAGAGAATGGGGCAGAGGAGGGAATAAGTGAGAACAGAGGGGCAGGCAGCAGAGTGAAGGCCCAAGGGCCAGGCTGCTGAGGTTCCTGGAATCACCTCAGATGCAGTCCAGCCCTCCTGACACTCCTGGGTCCTGTGCACATGTATCCTGCGATACGACCTGCCCCCATCACCCTGCTCATTGCTTTTTCTGCAAACTGAAGGAGCCTGGGTCAGTGAGGATGTATTTTTATTTGGAGTCTGTGCCCCACTCTGTAACCAACCAGCGTAGCATTGCCAGGCCCTCCTCCCTTCAGGAGAATGGGACGGCTGCTGCTTTGCCTTGCCTCGTGACCTTGGCTCACTTACCCCTGCAGGCAGGGCTTACTTCTCCAGTGAGGCCACTACATGGGTACCTGCCCTTCTGCTGGCAATAGGTCCTCACCCAAGAAGTCCAGCATTGACAGAGCTTTTGTCCTTGTCTCAGGTCATGGACACGATAATATGTCTAATGAAATTCCAGGATTGTTTCCATTATAAGCTGGAAAGTTGGGAGCCAAGGATGGGTGAGAATTTTATCTCATCCAACTTGTGTATTTATTTTATTATAGTATTATATATTTTCTCTGATTCTGCAGGCTAACAATGATTGACATGCCTTCTCTGAATGCTGCAATGAAATGCTATTGAAAAATCTATATTTTTGTATTTGAATACAAAGAAGAGGAGAAAAAATATTTGACCCACTCTTACTGACTGACTGATCCTAGCTCTCGTGAAAAGGTACATGCTATATTTTATTTTTCTGTTTTATGCTTTATTTGTCTATGCATCTATGTATCCATGTATCTATCTATCATCTTCCTTCTTTCCTCTCGTTCCTCCCTCCCTCTTCCTCCCTCCCTCCCTCCCTCCCTCCTTCCCTCCCTCCTTCCTTCCTTCCTTCTTTTTTTCTCTTTCTCACATCATGCCACAAAGCTATCTCTCTCCAGCCTTGCCCTTGGCTGCCTCTGCTTTGGCGCTGATGCCAGGCAGACTCTCCCCAGTGGTGATCTGGGTAGCTCCAAGCTTAGAACCTCACAGCTCTGTAACTTCAGAGGAAAGAATTTCCCCTTTCCAGTAGTTTCAACGAAAGCCCAGCATTGGGTCACATGCTCAGCCCTGAAGCAGTAATGGAGGTCGGGGAGATGGGTTATGTTGATTGAGCCATAGGCGTAATCCTGGGAATTGGGTACGGGCTCAGCCTCACCCCTGCCAGAAGACTGAGCATGAGGGCAGGATGGTTCTCAAGACTAATCCCAGGAGACATGCCTGAAGGAGGGAGACTGTTAGTTCACAGCTGCCCAGGGCCCCGCTTGCAGCCGTGGGTCTCTTCCTTCCATCAAAACTGCGGGATCAGCCACTCCCAGCTGTTCACCCTGTGTTGTCAGGGGTTGATATGGCTGATAAAAAACTTCTGGGGTGTCTGAAGCTAAGGGTCTGCATCTCTAGGAGGACGGCCCTGTACCATTCAGCAGAGACAGGGACAGCCAACCTGTGAGAGGTCCTGACCAATGAGTGGTTCTAAGTGTTAATGTATAAGATGTCCATTTGATTTTTTCTGGCCAGAGAACAGAGAAACCTCTCGGCAAGGATTAGAAACCTCCTGGTGCTTCTTTCCTGCTGGCAGATCACGTTCTTGTGGGAGAAATAAGAGCTGGGAGCCTGGAGTGGGGAGGGGATTGGGCACAGGGAAGTGGGTGAGAGGAGGAGTCCTGCTGATCAAGCCTGGAGGACTGTACCCCTTCCTGGCCCAGACCTCACCCTTCTAGCTGAGCAAGGGTTCTCCAAAGTTCTGCTTTTGAGGTTCTCTCAGCTTTTCAGGCCCAGGAGGAAACAGCTCCTGAGAGGGCTGATGTGGGCCCTTCCTGTATGTGGTGAAACAGAAACCAAGGCAGGCCCTTTCTTTTCTGCTGCTCCCCTGGGCCTCTTACAAGCCTCTTGGGGGGTACCTCTGGCAGCTCCCCTCCCACTTGGACACTCCTGGGGTCTCAGGCAGTGCTGTTACGGACTTCACATTTTCCTGTGTCCTCTCCTCTCTGCTCAGCTTTCAACTGGCAGGAGGTAGCAGGCTTGTGGACGGTGGCTCTGTATTCTTCAAACACACACACACACACACACACACACACACACACCACACATATATACACACATACACACACATATAAACACATACACAAACACATATCACACACACACCACAACACACATAAACACACACATACACATATATGCACACCACACACCACACATAAACCTACACATATACACACATACACACATACACACACCGCACATATATACACACATACACTTATAAACACATACACATACATATCATGCACACATATACTCATGCACACACACGTATACACACATACATATACACATACACATATATATCACACACATATACACATACACATAATCACGCATACACATATCCATATATGCAATATATGGATACACAATACACAAATATATACACATACACGCATATATCACACAATACACATACACACACACAGACACACGCACACACACACACACTGCCATCGCATCACCAGCTGAGTGTAGGCAGGCACTCCCCTCCTCGCCCTGCTGACGAGCTGTGCTCCCGGCTGGCTGTGGCTGCGTTGACAGTGGCCGTCCATGACACAGGCTCCTGCTGGACCTAAGCTGCTCTCCTGGCCTGGCCGCAGGAGGAGGCACGTTCAGTGTGGCTTCTCGACCACGGAAGCCGGACGGTGGGCTTCTCAGGTGGTGCTCGGGGCCCTATGGGAGGCTGACTCCAGCATTTGGGAAAACACTGTGGGAATAGGATGCAGGGACTGAAGGTGAAAACGGGAAAAATCAACACAATTTGGATGGAACAAGCCACTTGCAAGGAAACTGACATCTCGTAAATGGGCCGCTGGTGAGATAGGGGACAAAGACGTAATTAGATTTTCATGAGATAAAGAAAATGTGATCCATTTCGATAAGATTGTAACCCTCTGGACTGATGGGGAACCGACGAGCGAGAATCTACCGTCATCCTCAGAACTGACTTCAGGAGGGCTGCCTTGACCAGCCATTGGGGTGCCTGATTCTGTCCAGCTGGTCACCCCCATGGGGGTGGGGACTTGGGGCTGCACAGCCCCACTGGGATGGCTCACTCCCAGGTCTTGGCCCACAAGCAGCAGGAACCCCCTGACGTGGTGTTTGTTCCTCCTGGGAGTTACAGGTCTCACTGTAAAGCAGCACGTTGGCTTACCCCGCAGTTTCTTCTGAGTTAGTCCTGAACCTGATCAACTGAGGGGAGCACGGATGCAGTCAGCTTTAGGTGAGATCTTGGATTACGTTGGGTCCTCTTTGGTGTTTTCTGACGTCACTTCTGACACTAGATGTGTGGTGTTTTCTGACGTCAGCTGAGTGTCCTACAATTCAATTCAATTCTGACACTCACCCCTGGAGTCAGCACAGACCCCACAGGTTAGGGGCTCAGTCCCACAAGACCGCCCCAACTTCAGATGCCACGTGCAAGCAGGCTCTCCAGGCAACCACACTTCTGCCCAGACGACGGCAAATCTGGGGAACCCCATGACCCCTCTCAGGTGGATAATTCACTAGAATGACTCACAGAACTCAGGAAAACACTGTAATTACTATTTTTTTTTTTTTTTTGGCGGA